GTGATGTGGGAATTTCACTACTGGATCCTTTACATGCCTCGTCTATGCTGACGATTTGGCTAGATGTTTACACAAGTATTCCACTGGAAGTCTATTGACATTGGTGTTTTTGCTTTTTTGCACCTCACAAACTGCCCTAAATTTACAAAAGGTTTAAAAGGAGTTCCAAAATATTTTGAGCAATAGGAAAATCATTAGAGCAAATGCAGATCTTCCCAGTGGACTATTACACTGCTCTTATTTGTGTGCTGTTTGCTTGCTCTCAATGAAAGCAGAACACTGGTAGAACAGGGAGGCAGGGCATTCTGCGATCTCATGTAGTCCTAAGATTAGCCACTTGGTGAATCTGGATGTAAAAACACAAAGCGATACAAGGATTAAAAAAAAAAAAAAATGAAGATGTGGTAAGAGTAAACCAAAAGGAAAATGGGCTCTTTTTCATCAGTCTTGGTAATTCTCTGAACCAGAAATCTGACCATTTACATCAACCCAACAACCCTTCCATCCTGGAGCAGCCTCTCCTCCCAGCCCGGAGGTATCTGGTTACACAGCCACGGGAGCTTAACCAGAAATAAAAAGGACTGAATTCTGCCTGTCAAAGCAAATGACCAACGTGCGCTTGATGATGCTGGGTCTTAGCTTCTGTAATCACTGTTTTTTGTGTGGTTTTTTTTTTTTTCTTGCTCAGGTAACTTTAAAAATTACCAGTGGACCTTGATAATCCCAGTCATTAGTAAGCTTAAGCAGGCTTTCTTCAAGCACAAAGGGCAAAGTTCTTTTCCTATGGAAGAAGATGTATACACTCCGATCCCATCAGAGATACCAGACCTGCAAGATTATCCGATGCCTCTGCTAGAACTGAGCCTCTGAAAATGGCCCTAGCATCCCACAAACACCGTGTGGAGTCGGAAAGCTGCCCACCCCCATGGACGGCAGGTCTCATGGCCTCGGAGGCTTCCATTCCCCCTGATATCCAGAATGGGCTTGGGAATCAACAGCCCGGTTCTGCAGGGCGTTCGGGAGGCTGCTGGCCACGAGGGCCAGGCTACCTGACCACAGTGAAGACCGTGGCCAAGGTGGCCCAGGGGCAGAGGGGTCAGGCTGTAACAGCCGGGTAACGGGCAGTCCTGCGGGCTGCAAACTCTGCACACACAGCCTTCCCTTCCTTCTTTGCTTCCCTCCTCCCTTCCCTGCGTCCCTTCTTTCCCTCCCCACCCTGTTCTAGAAAGAATAACAAAATTAAGTTAATTAAAAGTAGGATGTTTGTTAGTTAAGACTCTTGTCTTGCAAGAGGCAGAAATCCAACCCTATCTTAAGATGGAATGTTGCTGGCTCACAGGGAGAGGGAGAGGAGGAAATGGTGTTGGGGTGACAGGGGCCAAGGCTTCCATGTCCCCCCTTCCCTACTCTTTCTGAGAGCCCTACTCTTCAGGGGCCAAGGCTACTGTGCTTTGAGGGGGGCAGCTCCAGATGGAAGCCTTGCAGCCTTGGGGTGGGGAGGAAGGGGGCTTGGTCAGTGCTCCAGTTAGAATCCCAGGGAAGGGCTCTGTTTGGCTCCCCAAGTGAGGGTGGTTGTGACTGGCTGAGCCGGTGGGCAGGGACTAGAACCTGGTTCTAGGAGGGGCAGCCCCTTCCAGCAGGGGAGGCAAATCCCCCAAAGAGGAGGAGAAAGCAATGAATGGACACCACACGTGTGGGTGGGTTCCAGCTTTCAGCGTTGATGCTCTGTGCTCTGCCCACCCATGAGAAAGACGTGAGGATCCATTCCAGGGCCCACGAGGAACAAACAAACCAAGAGTTTAGGAGAAAGACCACTGTGGTTGGTTTTAAGACCAAACAGGAATTTCTCTCTGGAGATCTTAACATACGTCTTTTCTATGTTTCAAACTATCACGTCCCCACGTTGGCTAGCCACACTCAGCCCCTGCCCTAATAGAATCGAGTCCTGTCTGCGGGGGTTGCAGACACAGCTCTGGCTGGAACAGTTCTAGGTCGAAACAGATTTCTCTGCAGGGTCTCGTTCCCTCCTTGAAACACCACCCCCAAATAACTCTATTGCCCTTCTCCCTCTGGAGTCCCAGTGCAAAGCCCACCATACTTTCTAAAATCCCATGTGATCTCTTTTCTGCCTTCATAAAAACCCCTCTTTCCACTTGGGCCTTAAGTGGTATCTCATTTCCAGGCCTCTGACTCATTTCCCTGTCGTTCAATAATGTAAAAGTCTCTAGAAAGACTTATAAAGTCAAAAACCCTAAACTCACATTTACATCTCATAAACATAATCTCTTTTCAGGGAAGGCTTGGTGCAGATGTCGTGCACGTGAAATGGAAAGGGGACGCATGTTGGCATCCCCTTCCCCACCTGTCCCCCCATCGGGACTTAGACAGGCTTTCAGTGCACACAGCTGGGAAGGTGGCTCAGTTCAGCTCCGTGGGAAGCAGCTGTGCTCTCCCGCCTGGTGATCCTGGGGGACGGGCTCTTCTCGAGGGCACCCTCCACAGCTATACACCTTCTCATGGGTGACAGGCAGGCACCATGCCTGCAACTCTCTTGGCTGGAAAGAAAGAGCAAAGTGTGCAGCTGTTGTGTCTCTGGTTCCCAAAATACTTTCCAGGAGAAGGACCAGCGGAAGGGTCAGACCAGCAGGTCTCAAACTTCAAACCAGCAGGTGCACACGGCCTACCCCAAACTGCCCAATCAGAACGTGGGGAAGGGGCCCAGTGCCTGAGGGCCACTCTGTGAGAAACGCTACCCCATCTCCGAGGAGCCAGGCTATCGGCTGCCTCGGGACTGACGGCAACTTTGGAACAGACTTCTAGGACGTGAGCTCTCCTCTGGGGTGAATATATCACCTCTGAGCACAGGCTGGGTGGACTTCAGGGGGCCACAGGGCACATGCCCAGGAAATTATGGGTGCTGTGATTTTCCAGAAGAATTCCGGAAAGCAAACAGCAAACATGCCATTGCTGTGTGCTCTGCTGTTGGGACTGACGTTGAGGAAGAGAAAGGGGCACGTCCCACGTGCAGGTGCTTACGCACTCCCAGACACTCTCATCCTGTGTTTACCAAGTGGTTGTGCAACGTGCCTGCAGATACACCACCAGGGAGTGGCAGAGGCAAGTGTGAGTCCAGAGCCTGTCCCCTCCCATCACACTCCTCTGTATGTGACAGAAAACCTCAGCAGCCATGGAAATAAATCAATAACACAAACCACATAAAAAGGGGGAAATCCTGCATGCAAAAAAAAAAAAAAAGGCAAGATAAACAAAGTCAGAAGACAAAGAGACCGGGAAGAAACGCTTGCGATCCACGGCACTGATGGAGCTAATTCTGTGAAGGTATAAACAGCCCCCGCAAGCAGGTGAGAGAAAGAGCTAGCTCCAGCAGGAGAAAGGGCCGGAAGCACAGACAGATAACTCACAGGAAGATAACTGAACAGCAAATACAAATGCACAAAAGCTGTTCCTCATTCAGAACAAGAAAACTAAACAGTCCAAGTACGAGACATTATTTTCAGCAAATATCAAAAAGTTAGAAAAGCGACTTGGCTGCTGGGCCTCATGAGACAGGCCTGCGTGCGCCCTGTTGGCGGGAGTGCATGCTGTCCCCCTAAGAAGGACAGATGGCCTGCCTCTCGAGGTGGACAGTGCGCCACCTGCATCGGAGCACGTGTCCCTCACAACACCGCAGTGTGTATCAGCATTCCAGCCCTGGGAGCAAACTCAATTCTCATCAGGAGGGGACGGCTTAAACAAACACATGTAATAAATAACAAATCACGATCAAGTAAGTTATGCGGGGTTTCTACAGTGGAATACTACGTCGTGGCCAGTTCCGGGAACAGGGCAGCTCTCTGCAAACTGCTAGGCACACCCTCCAAGACATCCTACTGAGTTAGCAGATGCACACCGCGTCCTTCCACTCGTGCGGGGAAAGGTCCCCACGCGGCGCCTCCCCGCTCTGCTTTCCCGTCTCTCTCTCCTCCAACCCCTGCGCCTCCTCGGCCATCAGGGGGGCCACTGCTCCCTATTCCTGGGGAAACCAGAACCCCCCAGCCCGTGTCTCTGGGCACCCCTCTCTCCAGTCACGTGACGAGCCTCCTGTCACCCGATGGACGGTCCCCCACTCCATCCATCCATCTCTTCCCACTTCTGGCCTGAAATGCCAGGTGGGCCGATGTCTCCAGCCAGACTTCTCCCTGTTGCTCAGGTATCTTCGCTTAGGTCCCTCCAGGCACCTCAGACTTACTACAGCCCAAAGCAGACTCCCCGCTTCCCCGGCCTCACCCTGAGCCTCCCCTCCTAGGAAAGAGGATCATTCTAGCTGCTCGGGTCAAGACCCTCAGAGCCATATGTCACCCGTTTCCTTCTCTCAGACCCGGTACCTAATCTATCAGCAGATCCCGGGGATTCTGTCTTCAGAATACACCCGCAAGCAACTACTTCTCACCACCCTGCCTCTCCCTTCGTGGTCTGAGCCCCGGTGTCTCTTGCTTGGGTGACGGTCAGAGCTCCTTTTACTCTCTCCTTCACAGAGCCTCCAGGCCAACCCCTCAGAACGGAAGCCAGGTCGTGCCATTCTTCTGGCTGATGTTCCCCAACACCAGCCCCACATAAAGCCCCACCTGTCCTCCCGCCACCCCCAGCCACACTGCCCTCCTGACCTGTCCTAGAATCTTCCCCCACAGCTGCCCACCTGGTTCCCTCCCTTATGTCCCCCGATTTCCCGTCAAATGTCCACTGGGCTCTGGGACCATAGTCAGGGTGGCCTGGCAGCCCCTGAGAGAGGGTCTGGCTGGTGGGGCTGGAGCCACAGAGGAAAGAAATGCTCCCCAAGGCAAAACAAGGCAAGAAGAACCCCTGGCCTCCCTCCTGCTCCCACACTCCAGTCTCCCCCACTGCCCCCCTCTGGCCAAACCTGGCCAGACACGAAGTGGGATCAGTTGGCTAAAGATCCTGAGACATTAGTTCCCGGTAACCCAGAGGAGGGCGGGACAGAGACTGGCTCTAAGGGCAGAGGCAAATGACCACAACAAGAACACCCCCCTCACCCCGCAAAAGACCAAATCTTCAGACAGGCTGAAAAACCAGTCTCTCACAAGGGAGTGGTTAAAATGACCCAATTCTCTAGCTATCTCTGCTCTTGGTGAACAAATTATGTCAATTCCTTAAGGCTGCAAAGGTAAAGAAAAGACTCAGAACCAATGATCCTACCAAGATGTAGACTCTCGTTGAAGCTCGGGTTGAAGCCACTGTGCTCGCATCCTAGCCACAAGACTGGACAGGTTGCTGGCCTCGGTGTTGACCAGCGTGAGCACGGGGGTCTCTGCGAGGGCTCCGTATTAGCATTGAGCCCCCCACACAAGCCTGGCTACATACAATGTCCTTCCGGTTGTCCCAAGAAACTCTGCATCCATGTCCACCAGATTCTTGGAACCTCCTGCGTCATGTGTGAATCAGCTACAATGACAGGAAAGTGTTCTCTCAGGCTGGTCAAAGAACAATGAACTTTGTAATTATGCTTTACTTTTTCATTTTTCACCTAGGGGTAAAATGCTACAGTGAATAGGGATAGAAAAATAAATAAAAAAACAAAGTAAATCCTTTTGCACAATGGTGCACTGGGAGTGTGTGTTGCAATGATTTAAAATGACCTTTAGCAAGCCCACGGCCCGGCACGGAGTTTCTCTCTCCCCATTCTCTCCCAAGACCTCATGCAACTCTTCAGAGTTATATTTAGGGACATCTTACAAAATACATTTTTGACCCACATGGCATAAGGAGGATTCTCAAAAATCACTGTGTCCTTGACAGCCGCCTTGTACAACCAGAGCCCTTGAACTGAGCATCTTGTAGGCTCTGTCCATGTACCAAATAGGCATTAACTGATTGTGATATGCAGTGCTAAGGTTCAAGGACAGGGATAGACACTGGCAAGTTTGTGCACGGGTTTAACTCCAGGTGTGGCTGGGCCCTCTGGGAGGGACACAGCTTTCTGAGAGTCAGGATGGAAACTGCATCTGCGGTGAAGGGTAGATGTCAAGAGCTCTAGTCTGTAAAACACCTGAAAATCCAGGACACACTGGAGCTCCGCTCTCCAAACAAAGCCAATCCTAAGGCACTGTAAATGTATTTTTTCTACAGTCTTTTGAAAAACCATATCTGGCATTCTAGTGGCCAGGTCTGGATATCAGCTGCAAGTTACAAGAGCAAATGGTTGAGTCGTGCCGGTAAACACCCGCTCATGCAAGTTAATGTTTGTATTTGTACTGCAGCATATGAACTTTGGGGCTAGTAGAATTGCCAAAGAAATTTTATTAGCTTGGGAAATCACTATAATTAATTTGCATTATTTTATCATTCCCCAAAAAGATAGGTTGAGTGAGAGGTCAGAAATCAGTCATCAGACACATTCCAAGCTGATAGTGCATTCAAAGCTCAGAACTAAGTCGAGAACCAACATACACGGACCTTTAGTCAAATTCTGCAGCCCAGGGAGCCCAAACCCACTCCCTGGACGGGAGGAAATGCTGGATCCCCAGAACAAAAGTTACATGGGCACTCTAGAAAGCAGTTATGAAAGCAGCCATTGGTGGAACCAAAGACTGCATTCCCAACTAATGCTGTTTACGTGACTACTACCCTTAGTCAAGCAAGGGGACATAATTGCTGGGATTAGCTATTCTTTTATTTAGCAAACAGACGCCTCTCCACTGCACAGTGCTGTGGGTCACACATATCCTGCCTGCTGAATCCGTCATTCTTTAGAACTGCTGAGTGTGTGTTTAGGCCCCGAGCCGGTCAAGACACCAAGACTGTTCTCTAGAGAAAAAGAGTGAACAGCAAGTCTGTCCGTTGGGAGAATATTGCCACAGAGCTTACCTTTATCTTAATCCAAAGTACTTGTTGGATTGCATGAGCAGGACGACCCATGGTTAACTGGCATTATGGAGGAAGTGCAATCTGAAATGCAGAAAAAGGAGGTGGCTTATGTGGGTCCCTGTAAAATCAAAAGGGACCCAGGAAAATGTTGTCAAGAGATAGGCTGCCCCAAAGCAGCCCTCCCCAACTGGTTGTGAGTGCACCTCCACCTCTACCCTTGGGTTGATAATAGTGGCCTCGTTGGCAGCAAAAGCTTTCACAAGGTTACATAATCGGTGCCCATGTTTAAAGGAAAATAAAAATTTGAATGTGACCCTTAGCCCTGGTTTTCATGATGAAATGACAACACCCGCCTCTCTGGTATCCAACGCGTTAGCAAAGCATTCACAAAGAGTCCTCAGGCCAGACCCTGTTTCATTTTTCCGAGAGGTGCTGTCTGCCCAGAACTGAGTGACTGGTTTCCTAAATACACAGACCTACGCAGCTAAGATGTTGATGTCTGTCCAAGGTCACCCTGAAGGTGTTTCCTAAATAGTACTGCTAGCCTCATACAAAGCTTTTAAAAGCAGAGGGGGCCATGCTTTTTAGTTTCTTTCCAGAGGGCCCTGCAAATTAAAATCAATAGACAGAAGTTAAATGGATATCAGAGCACGCTCTGACAGCTGGTCTCAGTTTCCCTCCTCTGTAAAATGTCTCTGAGAGTTCTAGGGGATTTTAATGGAAAAAATTGTGGACCAGCAATTACACAAACCCATGAGCGGTATAAAATGTGGTTAATAGCATCTCCTCCCGTAAATGTACTAAAACCTGTAAAACAGCCCAAGCACTGGCACATAGTAGGTGCTGTATATCCGTACCTCTCATTACTATCAGCCTGGACAAATGATACCTCAGTGGAAACATCTTCCACAAGCCCCCTTTCCCTGAGAAGCACTGTCCTAAGCCATTTGTGGTGAAGGACCAGAGGTCTTTTGTTTGCGTGTTTGTTTTTAATTTTCAATTCATTGTGCAATGGTACTTCTGAAAAGCTAAATAAAAAAGGGATTACCGGAGCAATACAATTAACAAAGATGTATAATATATATAATCAAGACAAAATACAAGCTCCCCATTAAAGAGGCCTTAGAAATCTTCAGAAGATTCTCTCGCAGAAGGGGGAAGGAAGGGACTTGCTCACAATTACATAGCAGATCAGTGGCAGTGCTCAAATCACACTCTTGGAACCTCTAAGGTGCTTCCCACGGCCCCCCACAATCCTGGCCAGCCTCTACTTCTCATCCTTCCATCAGTCAGAAGGACAGGGCCACACCAGGGTGAGGTGGATGCCTCCGGGTAAAAATTTAAGGGGGTACCAAAAAACTCAGTCATTGTAATAAGTAATATTTCAATGCAGTTTTTTTTTTTTTTTTTTTAGGCAAAAGGCGATGTTGTGGAAACAAATAATTATCAAAATCTCAGTGGTTTAACCCACTTCAATCAAGTCTGAAGCAAGTTGCCCTCCCCTTTCTTACTGGACACCATCTGGAACATGTGGTCTTTAAGATGATGGCAGCAGAGGAAAAGAAAAGTGAGGGAGACATACGGACTCTTCACTGCCTGACTCAGAAATAATACACACCAAATCTACTCACATTTCATTGGCCAGAATTATTTACACATCCTTAGCCTAACTGCCAGGGTACCGGAAAATGTAGAGGACCACATAGACATTGGTGACTTAAGACTTTACTCAGACCCTGTGCGCTAGCTTCGCTATATATAAGCGCATTACAAACTTATACACGGATTTATAACTTTTATATTTCATGTATAAATATATATATAAGATTATTATGTATATAAACTTGTTATATATGTAATCTGTAGAAACTTATATGTATGCAAACTTTAATTATACCCCCAAAAGTCAGAATTTTTCATAAAGACAGGATCAGTAATGGTGTTGACCTGAGCAAAAGGCAAACTCAGTAATGCTTATCTTTATTTTAAATTTTGATATTGTGCTCAGCATAGATCGTACTGCATTATTTTTGAGAAGGGAGTCATAGGTCAGTGCATTCAGTAACAATCAAGTGGCAAGGGTCATCATATGGATACAGGTGCTTTGCACGCAGTGTTTAGCCACTGGCTAAAATAACTGTGTGCGCAGGAAGGTGGAGGCAAAGATGTGGTTTCAGAAGGCACCCCAAAGCCAAACAATCACAAAAATTCAATTCTAAGACTCCACTGATTGGAAGATATGTGATCAATTTATTAATATCTTTTCAGAAGGAAAAAAGAAGTCTGGTAAGCTTCTTCTTTGGCGTGGTCTATAAGAAACACGCAGATCTCAGAACTATTAACATATGTAATAACAACAACAACAAAAGGCTCTTAAAATGCAGGCAATATGGTACAACATTTTAATTTAGGATCCCCAGCCACTGAAGTCTACACTCCAGCATAATAAACTCAGAGAACAGATAATTTTATTAATGAATGATTGGGCATATTTACACAAAGCAACTGACAAAAGTACCTATTAGAACTGCTAACCACTGCCCATCAACCAGGATAGGCCCCAGGCAAAGCCTTTACTGGCAGCAATAACAGTGGCTTCCTGCTTCTGAATCCTCCCTGGTGGCTCTTCCTGACTTCCCTTCTGTCTACTTGCTCCTGCCCACCTCTCCATCTTTCCTTCCCAAATCGGTTCTCGTCAAATGGGGTGATTTCCACGCCCTGGAAAATTAGTATTGTGACAGGGATTAAAATGTTAAGCTAAAGAGATGAAATTTAAGTAACAGTTGGGGAAGATTTTGAGCAGGTAAGGGTGGGCTCCCTTAGTCACAAGGTAAAGCCCGCCCCCAGCTACTTTTCTGCTACTAAGCAGTGTTTCCAGCATTTAGGGGAATAACGCAGGCTCATGTCACCGCCCCCCCCCACCACCAGCCAGTCAGAAAAAGGTCAAAGTGTGAAATTCCACACCCGTGGGACCAGAATGGCCACTTGGTTTTTGAACCCAGACTAGTCCCCTCCAGAGCATCTTTACCTTCTGTCAAGCAAGGAGTGCTCCAGGATTTTCCAGTCTGGCTTCATTCTGGACTAGAGAGCAGGAGAGAAAGAGAAGGAAGTTATAAAACCCCACTGAACCAAGGAACCACCCAGACTGCAGGGGACTGAACATCAGATGAAGGAAGGAACACAGGAAACATGGCTGAAACACCTGGCTTCTGGCTGGGTGGGAGGCGCCCAGTCCTCCCTCTGAGGAGAGGACTCCTCAAATCTCTGCACCTGGACAAGTGTTAAGGCCGCCTCCTCACGTTCTTTCTCTGATTAGGGGGAGAGGCGGAGCTGACGTCAGCATTCAGGGCGCTCCAGTGACTTCTGGGGTCACTACGTCCTCAGAACCTAGAGCGGGAAAGGAAGCGTCTCCCGACCGAGCAGTCACCCCATTTCCAGCCGGGAGCCAAGGTCGCGCCATCCTGGGGCGCTCGGAAGGGGGACGCCACCACCCAAGCCCCCCGGCCCTCGGCTACTACGGGCCGCGCCAGAGTGGCAACGCGGTGGCACGTGGAAGCCTCGCCCGGGGTTTCCAGCCCTCTCCGCACCCATTGCTTTCCGCAGTCCTAGGAACTCCGCGTTTTCCGCGGCGCGGGGCTGCGGACACCGCGCCCGCACTTACCGCCGACCCACTGCGCAACTCATGGCGAACCCGAGATAAGCCGGGTGTAGGGGGAGGGGGAGGTGGGCTGTGAAAAGCCGCACTCCCCGGCAACACCCGCGCTCCGGGCGCACTGGGGTCCGCACGCCGGGTGGAGAGGGACGGGGGTCCACGGTTTTCCCGGAAGCAAGTGCGGGTCAGTGCGCATCCCCCACGCAATCCGGGGCTTCCGCCGCAGCGGGGGTGGCGGGGCAGGGCGCGGGGGCGTGTTCCAGAGGGTCGGGCGTAGACAGAGACTGGGGGGACGGGATGCATCAGAAATCGGCTCCCAGCGAGTCCCGCGCCACCGCGGCCGCAGGGGAGGGGAGACCCCGCCCGCAGCGCAGGCGACCTCGTGCGGCGACCCGGGGACGGCACGGGGAGCGGGCGAGCGGCGTGCGCCCTGCACTTCCTGTTCAGTGCACGCGGCCTTCCACCGCCCCGCGCTCGGCGAGTCTGCGTCCGGCCGCGCCGCCCCTCACTTGCCGGCTCCCTGTCCCCGGGACGCGGCGCGGCGGAGGGACGCAGCGGGCGCGCCCTCCGGCTGGCAGGGCCCCGCGAGCCGAGCCGCCGCCAGAATTTCTGCGTGCAGCCGAGCGGGGAGCCCAATTCCCGGGGCGTTCGCGTTTGCGCCTCCTCCTCCCTCCTCCCCCCTCTCGCCCACAAGGGGGACGGGCCGAGTTCCAGGCTCCCGGCTGGTTCATTCTGCGGCCGAGGATTATATTTACATGCAAACTGTCTCACTCTCGCCAGATTGTCCACTTCGGCGCAGGCACGGGAGGCTTGTTTTCCACATTACTGTCTCTACTTTGCACCTGCCTTTCAGATTACCTCCGGGAATCTGTGGGAGGAGCTGAGAGGGTGGAAAATGTTGCTTCGCTTTGCAAAAGGAAGAAAACTTTGTCACCCAGCGGGAGACCTCTGCCATGCGTAACCCGGAGAGACACCAGAACCAGGACAGCCTCTGGCTTTGATTTTGCACCGCTGAGCCCGTAAGGAGGAAGAGGACACGTGAACTCCGCGCTCACGCCGACCGCCATCCGTGCCCAGTGGCGGCGGCCCGAGGTACCTGCGCCACCTTCCTTCCCTCCCCGGGGAAGTCCCCACGCGGTGTCTTCGGGTGGAAGGATAATAATAAAGAGCGCGCGGCTCGAGGCCGACAGCAGGGGCCGGCCTAGGAAGGAGAGAACCGAATTGCAGGAACGAGTCACCCGGAATTAACTTCTGGTTAAAGTTATGGGAAGCGCGGCCATGGACACCAAGAAGAAGAAAGATGTTTCCAGCCCTGGTGGGAGCAGTGGCAAAAAAAACCCCAGCCAGAAGAGGCGTTCGCTGCGAGTGCACATCCCGGTGAGTGCCCACCCGCAGCGCGGTCCCCGGCTCCCCACCCTCGCGTCGTTGTCGACCCCGGCGCCGAAGCAGTTAACGCGGGACGCCCCGCGCGCGCCGTGCGTGCCCCTCCTGTCACTTTGGGCGCTCGGGGATGGGTGGGGGCGCAGGGTCGAGCTGGGCCGCCGAGCCTAGGCTCCATCTCTCTCCCCAGCTGTGTGCGGCCGGGGCTTGGCGACCGACTGCGGCGGGGACGCGGGAGGGGGCGCGGGGCGCGGCTGGTGGCGGGCTGGGCGTAGCCCCGGATCCCGCCCGGTGCGGGTGCTGTGGGCGGTGCGTAGTGTTGTTTTGTTGAAAAAGGACGGTGTGGACTGCGCTCGGGAGAGGTGGAGCCGCGCGCGGCTGCCGGGGACGCAGGGGCGGGGCGGTGGGCGGGGACAGCGGTCGGGGGGTGTGTGGCTGTGTAGCTGCGCCCCCAAATGGACCTTCCTCCTCCCCAATTCCCCTCGGGGTGTGCCTGGGCGCGGGGCGGGGAGCTACTCTGCAGCCGTTCCCTTAGCCCTCCCCCCCCCCCCGCCCCCGGAGCACATTTCGGGCATTTGGGGACTCGGGGATTCCCTAACGCATGCAGAGCTGCTTCGAACTTCAGCCCCGGCCACGCCGGCAGCCCCGCCCGGACTTTGGGGACATCGATCGGTCTGCGGCTCGACTTTGTCCATCCCGAGGGAGCGCCGGGCGGGGTCGTGTGCCCACCCTGGGTTTTGCCTACCCAGGTAGCCCGCGGCCTTCCCCAGCTTCCCTGTGGACAAGTCAGGTGGTAGGACATGCGGCGCAGCCCTTACCTGCACCCGAAAGAAACCCCCAACTGGGTCACGCCCCTGGCCTCCACCAACCAAGTGAATGTTTGTCCAAACACACCTACACGCAGATGCACGCGCACAGACACACGCGTACGCAAAGAGTAGAGGGCTCCATGAAGAATGTGGTTTTGTTCTTTCTGTGGGGATGACAGGTCCTGGGCACGGGGTGGAAGCCACAGTGAGTGCCCGCCTCCGACTGGGCAGGACTGGGGTGGGGCTGCTTGCCGCTCACTTCCCACTGAACCCCATGAGGCACTTTCCTTCAGTGTCTGTTGAATGCAGCTCCTTTCCCTTCCACGTGTGCCCACACCCTCATGGAGAAGGTCTGTTGGGTACTGGAGGGAGCAGCCTTTAGTTGAGAGGAGGTGAGGAGATAGCCAGCCCTTCCTCGCTGGGGGAAGCTCAGGGAGCAGGTAACCAAGCTGCTGCGGGGCCACCAGGGTGGTGGCCCAAATATGCAGGAATAAGTAGTCTATTTTAGAATGGATTATTCTTGTTTACATTTTTTAGCCATATTTGTAAATGAAAAATTAGACATTGGTATTACAAGTCTCCCTGGAGCGGTGATCCCTTTGAGGGAGCCTTTTACCGCTCACTTTCTCCCATTTGTCAGAGATAATAATTTGCTTTGCCTACCTTGTGGAGATGTGAAATAAAATAAGTCATGGGAACGCTCTTGAAATTTAAAGCGTTATAAACATGTATGACTATCAAGTTGACGTCAGAGCAACTGGTTTTAAAAAGAGAGACATAGAGAAAAGAAAGGGTCACTGTCAGGCCATATTGTACTGAGGCCGACTATGGTGTGGGGTACGTGCTTGGGGTCGCTGGAGGGGTGCTGTAGTGGTTAGTGTGGGACAAAATCCAGAACCCAGAAAAGGACTAAGAGGGCCACACTGTGAGAGCGGAAAGGCCACGGTGTAGCTGGAATGCTCTGACCACCCTTCTTGCTTGCTGGACATGATTTTGGCTGCTTTAAATAACCTTCTGGCATGATCCATCCCTTACCGAAAGTGGTGTTGACTCAATTATTCCACAACACGTGTGTACTGCTCTGGTTGATGGTGAGATCTAGGGGAGCAAGGGAGGGGCTCTGTCTCCCTCCTTATAGGGCTTGCATTTGGTGGTGGGACCTGGGGGGGTCTTCTCACTGGCCATCTAGTAATGGCCTGTCGATCACTGTGTCGGGCTAGGTGAAAGTTATACTCTAGGTGGGAAAATACGGCCTTTGGACAAATGCTAGCACATGACCCAAGGGCATCCGATGACTGGTGCTGGCAGCACTCGCTCTCAGAGGGGAGAGTGGGAGAGGCAACAGCAGACTGATGTGTTCACAGAGACATTCGACCCAGAGCTCGTGGGCAGGACTGAGACACGTGTGAGAACCTGGGTTGCTCCCACCAGGGAACCAGCTTGAGCACCTCCGTGAGTTGGGGCTTGGATGACTGCTTTCAGGTACAGCACAGAGCCCCTTCTCGTGGAAGAAAGGGTTTGAGAATCAGGGTACTCAGAAATGGACTGGGGCCCGATCAAGGAGGACTCTGAAGCAGGATTGCCAGGTTTAGCAAAGAGAAATATTAAATGACCAGTTAAAGTAGAATTTTAGATAAACAACGAATAACTTTTTTTGTATATGAATATCCCGTGGACCCGTTGGGAAAACCGATAGTAAGAAAAAATCCTTCACTGTTACCTGAAATCCCGACTGAACCAGGCGTCCTGCCTCTTATCTGGCAGCTCCACCCAGAGGGCAGCCTGGGGGAGTGAGGACTTCCTTCTGAAGGCGCTGGGAAGCTGCCATGGATGCACTTGATGCCCTGCCCCGCTCCCCCGTGGCTCCCCCCGAGTTCGTGGAGCCTTGCTGGACAGCTCCGCTCCACGCCATAGTTTGCCTCTGGGTTTCTTGAAGGACTCCTCCCGGATGGTGCCAGTTTGCTCAGCCCCGGTGCAGGCTGGGTGGGAGTGAGCCATTGGGATTATGCCCTAAGGGGGGACCCTCACCAAGGAGGGATGCAGGTGGGAAGGTGCCCCTGCCTCCCCATTCCCCAGTGCCGTGTGTTCCACAGGAAGCCCCGGAGGGTCCCAGCGATGTCCAGGAATGATTGCCCACACTGGTGTCCATTCATTAATGTACCCTTACTGGCTCATCTGGCTCTCCTGCCTCATTCCCTCACTGCCTAGGACAGACTGCTGAATCTAAGTCAGTGTCTTGCTGTCTTGGGGGCGAAATCCACGTTAAGAAGCAGTTAAAGGTGATGAAAGCAACATCATGTGAGTTAGCCCCTAGAGCAGTGCACAAAGTGGCTTCGTGGAAGGAGGGCTAGTGGCCAGGGGACCAACTCCAATGCTCTTGCAAATATCCAGAGATTAGGGTTGGAGGGGCTGAACACAGTACTGATAGGAGCAGACTAGTGAGGGGAGACGTGAGACACTGGAGGGAAAGATGGATGAGCGGTGTGCCTGATGGATGGGGAGGAAGCCACGGATTGAGTTAACCTGATGGCTTCAGGGTAGCTGGTATAAGGAAGCAAGGGAGAGGTGGGGAGTTCAAGCCCAGCCATGGTGAATCAAAGGGGAATTGTCCACCTCCTCAGCGCTAGCACCTGCTCATCCCTGATGTCCCGAGAAGGCCATTTCCAAGGATGTTTGGGATTCTGAGGAGTGGCTCCTGAGACACCATGGCCCTGGCAGTCCTGTGGGTGGGTCATTGGGTGGCATCCAGTCCACCAGCAGGGTAAAGGCTTCTCAAGGTCTCTAGTGTGTCCACACAGCTTGTCTATGCGCTGAATTGGTTCAAGTCCCTTTTGGACACAGTTGGCCTCAGTCTCTACCCCCATATCTGGTGCATAAACAGAACCATGACCTAGGGTGTTGGGTGTTGTAACCCCTGCAGACCTCCATCCCAGGCTTTGACCGCCTTAACCATCTTTACCCTCCTTGCTACCAAGAGCACCTGCTGTGCCCTGAGGCACCAGGAAGGAGGAGTCCATTTTAGGGGAGGCCCTCCGGCCTACGGGTTATAGCAGGTCATGGGGACTTGGAATCAGCCACTGCAGTAACTGATGAATTGAATTTCATCGAAGGGAGAATGGCCGTTGGGCCTAACGGAGGATGAGGCCTGGCTTGGTGTTAGCCTCTTTCTTAGGTAGCTGGGATCACCTTTCTGGGCAAACGCTCTCGGGTCTTGTCAGGGGAAAGGGAAGGTGGGAGGCAGGAGAGGAAGCAGAAGGGTGAGTGTGGACTCCTCTGAGGTTGCACTGGGCCTTTAAAGGAACAGGATGGGCGCTTTGGTTAGAGTCACTGTGGGTTGGTGCCTTGCCCGGGTTCTCTTCCCTTAGCCTTCATCCTGAATGTAAAGCAGGAATAACAATGAAGGTGGTAGGAATGGTTTTGGGAAAATAGCTCTTTAGAAGCCTAGCTGGGTGTGGCATTCAGCCAGAACTTTGCCAGAGACACTGTTGGCCTGAGCAGGGGTGCTCTTTTCCTTTTTTTTTTTTTTTTTTTTTCTGTCTCAGAAGAAATAGCTTCCCTATTAATGCTGAAATTCATATATTGCAGCTGTATTTTACTTGAGGACTGTTGGTCAGCATATTGTGGGTCTTTGGAACTGTTGACAAGCCAGTGACAGAGCAGGAGGCCACAGGCGAGTGGGGGGCTTCCGAGAGAAGGACCCTGCAGGAGCCTCTGGGGACACTGAGGCAGGCTCAGAGGAGCTTGGGCTTGAGGCAGTGGCCCAGTATTTACCACGGACAGGAGGCACATTTCCCTGGGCCTCTTGGGAGTGGTGCTCCAGAAATCCTTCACAGTCACTGTAGACACACTAAAAATAGAGCCAGGAGTAGCTGGCTGGTCACTAAAGGTTGTTTCTATCTATTTAGGTATCCATTCATCCATCTGTCCATCCATCCATCTACTTACGTATCTGCTTTTCTATCTATCCATCTATCACTATCTACCATGTGCACTTTTTCAGTTGTCATTGAGATGTCCTTGGCTACTAAACATAGGATACTGCTGGCTTCCAAATAAAGATGAGAGCCTGAATCAGCCCCCAGCCAGGGTAGCCCCGTGTGGGCTAGCCTGTTAGGCCACACTGCCGTGTTTCTTGATTCAGCCCTCTGGTGCATCTTGGGTGCCCTGAGCGTAAGCTCTTGTAGAGCC